TAGCCCCGTCAGAATTTTTAATAGCCCCGGTTTAGCCCCATTTCTTTATGAAGTAACTCTGACGTCATCAATATCATTTATTTTCTTAGCACCCCTACATATTGGTCTAGCTCCCCCTTAGCACCGGTAGAGAAAAAATTCTGGCGCCGTGCCTGTTTACAGTTTAATCAACAGTATATACATATAATATTATAATATATATCATCAATATAATATATTATATTATAATAATATAACAGGCCTGGAAAACACTATGACTGTGGAAACCCTGAACATTTTTCAAGAAGCATCATCCAGGTAAGTAAAGGTAATGTTGCATTGTTACCTGGTGCAGTGAGAATAGAGAGTGTAGAGCACTGCATACTGGACAGCAGGGTGATGAACTGCCAAATCAGAGTGAACTACAACCAGATTCTGACTGAGCAGGGCAAACACAGTAGGGGACAAAGCCCACATCTGTAACACAGAAAAAATAAGCGCTATTACTCTACTCTTTTACATATTTTCTTGTATGACTGCAAAAAATGCTTTCACAGAGCCAAGTATGAATTCATGCTGACCCCGATGAGGGAGTTCTTGGTGTTGCCAATGGTGGTGAGAGCACTGAAGTCGAAGATAAGGATAAACTCTGCTCTCTCTGGGCTGAACTGCAGCTGGCTAAAGGCAGGATGTTGTATGTTAGGACAGGCAGCAGGCAAACCCAGAGGGCTGAGCAAACTGTTCAGCGCACAGCCCATCTCGCCCAAGACCAGTTTATAAGCTGCCTCCAGGGTAGGGATGTTCTTTAGGCTCAGCACAGCATGATACACTCCATGTGCAGCTGCCATCACCTGTGACAAACAAAAAAGCATTAGCTCATAGCTGTGTGTGTTGAATTTCTAACAATTGAGGTTACTGATCGTACCTCTCTTTTTCTGTGGAAACGCAGCTCCAAGAGTTGGGAATTTGGGGCCAGCAACTTCTCCACAAAAGCAGCCGGGATGTTGGTGTTTATCTGGTCAACAATCTACAAACACGCATTAAAAATAAATAAATAAATAAAACGTGTGAAAAAGTATTTCAAAGACAAAAATAATAGTGACAAGGCCAAAGTGTGAACTACATTTATTTACACAAATCCCACAAACTGTACTCCAGTCTGTCGGTTATTGGATTAATCAAGTCAAGTCCTACCAGTGTAAGCAGGGTGAGGACGGACATGCTGTATTCTGGTCCACAGCACTGGCAGCTGTCCAGCTGGTCTAGGCCATAAGAGATTACAGCATCAATCAGCTGGTTGCCCAAGTCCATGCTGACCAGCAGGACACACACACACTCATTTCCTGCTGTCAGCACTGCCTCCGAGAAGAACACCTGCTTGGCTGTGGTGACACAGGCTAAAACACGGTTCAAAACCTGTGAGCGAGAAAATGCAAACAATTTACGTCAGATCAGTAAAGGATTGTGTGTGTGTGTATTCTCAAGTGTTTGTTGATCTATAAATGACAGCAGTTTATCTTAGAGGATCTATTTGTATTGCAGAAACACAGATATTTAAAGCAGAGGCCATGCGTGTTGGATACTAACATCAGTGACATATGCTGCTGTGATCGGAGGCCCTCTGATAGGGTTGAATCGTTCTCCGATGCTGTGCACAACTGTGCTAAAAACTCTCAACAGGGCTGCCAGTTTTGGCAGGGATACTGCGAGAGGGGGAATGTCCTCGTCTCCTGATTCCCCAGATACAACATGACTCAAATCCTATGAAGAGCATTAGAACCTCAGAAATCTCATAATAAATGGAGTATCAGAAACCAAATTAAAACAATTTATGTTACCTCAGCATACGCCTCCATGTCTTCCAAAAACTGACCCAATAATGTAGTTGAAAAGGCCAAATCTGCGACCCAAAACTGCTCCAGACTCTGTAACCAGCCTAGAAAGATATATTGAGACAGGTTAGACAGGTTATTTCCCAAAAAAGAGAAAAGAAACTAAATATAAAACAAATAGTACCAGACACTTGTTGAGTAAGAGACTGTTTCTGTGTGTGGTCTATATGCCAACCTACTAAGATATCCACTGTGTCCTGAAAAACAAAAGCAGCAGTTAATTTACAAGCTCTTTCCTTTCAGATTTCAAGATTTTAAATGTAAGACTGCGTGCGCTGCTTACTCTGAAGTTGGTGCTGAATACGTGTGGATAACACCGGGCCAACAGTAAAATACATTTTACACTTTGGCACAACAGCTCTGGCGTGTCCAAGTTCTCCAAGATAGACTGAAGGCTGCTCATCACCAACTGAAAGACAAAACGGTAAAACATTGCAACCTAGGGCTGGGCGATATAGCTATAAAATGTATTAATGATATAATGTTTCATATCGTTCGGTATCAATAATTATTGACTTTTTATAAACTTTTGTAAAACAGAGTAACCACTGCATTTTTAAATTAACCCAATTTATTGAGACAAACAACAAATATTTTTTGTTTTAACTCTCAAACACACAATAAAAATTAAACAAATATCTAATTTCTAATGTTTTATATGCAGATTAAATAGGTCTTAAGGAAACTTTTGGCTTGTCTCCCGAGGCCACAGGAGGGCGCAATGAGCAAAATAATGCAGCACATTTAAATTGTCAACGCAAGGACATAAGTCTATAAAAAAAACCTGTATTACGTCTAAATTAACTCATAAATCAAATATAATTTTGTAAACTGCATAAACAATTATGAACAAAACAGCATCATGTGTTTATGCATTGCTTAGCCTAATACAAAGAGCCAAATCACCGATCACACAGATAGCATTTACAAATGAGACACCGCATCGCGTTTTCTAAACGTTAAAACGGTTTTAACTTTGCAATGAGCAAAATAATGCAGCACATTTAAATTGACAACGCAAGGACATAAGTCTATAAAAAAAAACCTGTATTACGTCTAAATTAACTCATAAATCAAATATAATTTTGTAAACTGCATAAACAATTATGAACAAAACAGCATCATGTGTTTATGCATTGCTTAGCCTAATACAAAGAGCCAAATCGCCGATCACACAGATAGCATTTACAAATGAGACACCGCATCGCGTTTTCTAAACGTTAAAACGGTTTTAACTTTGCATGACTTTCTATGCATCTCTTCTGTGAGACGCAAGTGCAGCAGTCATATTTGTCCGTCTAAAAATGCGCTGAATATGCATCTGTGTGAATGGCTTGGTTACGGTTTTCACCCAATCAAGATCTTCTCCGCATTGAGCTTCTATATTTCTCTAATATTTTGAATGCATAACACAGCAGCGCCGCATCTCGTGGGCTAGACTAACAAAACATTAAAATACAACAACGTCACTAATATCACTGCATCTCGCACGCCACTGATGACGCTCCCTGATGCACACCTAACATTCAAATGCAAATGTTTATTTTAAATTCGACTAATATTCATTCTTTATTCACAATCTCCTCATCACAGGCAGGCACAGCACTCAATTCAGCATGTGTTCGTGTGTGCTGCCTGCGTCACTCATAGCATGTGCCTATATCGAACAATTTTTATATCGTTATTGAAGGTGTACCGTCAATAAATATCGATACAGTTTTATCGCCCAGGACTATTTCAACCACAGAAAAAGATTATACAGAAGGGTAATCCAAGATTTAGCAATGGAGCTGAATAAATAATACCTGCATTACAGATGAAAAAGCCTTCTTCTCCCCTGCCGTTTCAAGTGCCTTGTGCACTGCCACCAGGTACAGAAGCTTCACCTCATCCTTTGTGGACACACTGAACTTGAGGAACATCCACTTGAAGATCCGCTCGGCTTCATAACTGAGGGCGGCACAGAGCAATCCCAGGCAGCACGCGGCCTCCTGCCTGAGCTCCTGCAGGAGCTTACTACTGTAAGGCCAAACAGAAATGCACAGAAACGTGTGATCGGGTACTGCATGGATTTAATATGCAATAATGTCCAGTTGACTGTACACTACCCTGCTTATTATAAGGCTACTTTATATATACATACATACATACATATACATAAATAGATAAATATTACATATCGATTTGAGTTGAAATTAGGCCAGATTTTCACTGCACAATTATCATGGCCAAAATAATCCAGGATAACAATGGCCCTGACCCAAATGGCACACTTCATGTGAACTTGTGGTCTTGTAAACTTACAATGACCCCTTCATGCGCATCCATTAAGGTTTCAGAACTGTGCTTGTGAGTGCTCACTTTGCAGCCACTATGCGCCCTGGCCCAAACTGAGCTGAGCTTCAAAGTAAACTTCTACCTGATAATTATTACATAGCATTATGTCACAAAGTGTGGACCTGGTGGAAGACTGCAAACGCTTAGGGTGCCATTTGGGACAAGGCCTATGTATTATTGCAATATCTATCGAAATTAAGGAAAAGCCATATTGCTTATTGTGTGTATTCTCTTTTTTTGGCCAATGAATCACATTCAAAATACAAGTGTAGGGAAATATTGTAATCATAACAGTACAAAAGGAACTTACACAATTGGCATATCCTGTGGAGTGGGGTGTCTAACACCCAGTCTTAAAATTTCAAAAATTCCCATACTAGCGGGCTAATTTTTTTCAGGTATGGCAAAATGTAATAATGGCTGGTTAAATAGTTTATGACTAGGACTCAGTAAGGTGTTCATAACACTTCATGAACAATGAAGTGCTAAATATACCCTCAGTGGACTGAATTCTGATAAACCCCCCCCCCCCCATTGTGTTAAAAATAGGCCGTGCAGTCATACCTCTCGTTCAAAATGTCATTCAGGGTGCTCAAAATGGAATCCAACTGTTTCACTAGGACCTGTAATGTATGAATGCAAACAATACAGATTAAAAACTGTTTAATTCTATAGACACATAAAAATCGATTTGAGCATGTCAGACCGTACCACTTTATTTTCAGAGTGCACAATGAACTCCCTCATTTGTTTCATAGTGGCCAGTCTGCGTTCCCGGTCATCTTCCCGTGACGCTCTCCGCAGAAGATTGGCCAGACGAGACTCCTCAGAGTGAGCCAACGGTCGGTCTGGGACATAAAAGAGAAAGTGATGCTAGTAAATAAATGAATTCAACAGCCCCACTTAAGCTCCAAGGCAATTCATTCCAAACAAACAATGTATGAGCACTGAAAGGTGAATGTACCCTGTGATTTCCTCATGTCCTTTGTAGCTAAAGCACGGTTTCCATGCTGAAAAGTGGTTTTATCAGTAGTCACATCATTGATTCTCAACTCTTGCCCCAGCGACTTCCAACCATAAGTATTTTCAGAGAGGCCTCCATCAGCGTCATATCCACCTAGAAAGCAAGAATACTGTCAGTTCCCTTCTCTAAAAGGAGTAACATTTGTAATCTGAAATTCCTGAAAAAAAAAAAAAAACACCACAAGAAACACTAAAGCATAAATTACATGTTAGAGCATTGTGTCACTAAGGTAGGTTCTATTTTTATAAGCAGGGCAAAAAGAAACGCATATGGTATAATCTAGGTGTAACTATTGTTTTGTTATTTAATTTTTCTCAATTAAAAATAAAGCAAATAACAAACAATAGAACAAATATATTATATTCATAAAAAAAGGGGGATTTATTCCCACAAGGAACCTCTGGGACCTTCCCAAAAAAAACCCTCTGACATTACTTTCTCTTTCTATAAACAGAAACCTTAACCAGGGTGACACACAGAAGAGGAAACAAATAATCAACAAACCCTCAGCAGAATGACACATGGTATTGATGTAGAAAAACACTGGCGGCCAGGCTAAACAAAGGGCCAGATGAAGCACACACCTCCTTCTTCAAGTACATCTGCAGCAGTGAAGGCATCATTGTGCAGTGGTGGGGTGCCAGGCTGGTCAGAGGGCAGAATGTCGAAAAGAACTTCTGAACCACGGTATCTAGAGACACTGCTCTTCACACCGTCCTGGCTGGCTGACAGACTGTCGCCTCTGAAAAACATTCGATATACCATCAGTGGCTACAGCAACTTAACTGTCCATGTTCACGTTGATGTCAGCATGCTAAAGCTTGACCAGAGGTGACCACTTATTGTGCAACTGGACAAAAAGGGGTTGGTATCTACTCTTTGACGACACCATATGTATAAAACACCAACCACCACAATTTGTTTACAAACACTTTCAAAAGTCAGTATCAGTGTGTTTTTGAAAGAAGTCTCGTCTGCTTAGCAAGGCTACATTTTTTTGATCAAAAATACAGTAAAAACTATAAGATGGTGAAAAATTATTACAATTTCAAATGCTTTTTGTAAATTTTTTTTTTACTGTGATGGCAAAGCTAAATTTTAGCATCATTACTCCAGTCGTCAGTGTCACACGATTCTTCAGAAATCATCTAATATGCTGATTTGAAAAAGAAAAAGAAAACGTGTGACATTAAGACTTCACTGCCACTTTTGATCAATTTAATGCATTTTGCGAAACATTTTATTTTTTTTAAATATCTTACTGACCTCAAACTTTCGAATATTCATTCATGTGTAAAAGGAACATCTACACAAGAATACACATTGATCCTGAACAAACATGATAGTTGCCAGTTAAATGAACAATAAATCAACAGGTATCTACCAAATTATGCTACCAAAAACTCACATGGTCATTTATTTGCCACCATGTCATGCCAAATCCACAAGGCTTTCTTCTATGGAACAGCAAACAATAAATTGGATCAGTCCCCTTTGCAAATGGATCATTCATACGAATGAAGCGAGTCGATATGCAGATATCAATAAATCATTGATACCAACTTTTTTTTTTGTGCCAATTTGGAACCTGACGTCAATTCTCATTCACTTTCATTATGTTGGAAAAAAATGGGGCTAGGATATTCTTCAAAAACATTGAAACAATGTACATTTTGTGCTCTAATGACGAAAGAAAGCCATACAGGTTTGGAACATGTGAACTGACTGAATGACATGACTTAAACTTCCTTTTTTGAGTGTACTATAACTTCAACAATCCTAATTAAACTGCATTTTGAATTCGAACAGTTCACAGAAATATAAAGTTGATCATTTACATCACCTGCCAAGCATTAAATTAAAATAACTTTTCTAACACGGCAGAAAGTATTAGTACTCAAAATGTGAACCATTAAATCAACAAAGACACAAAATCATATAAGCACAATTCATGAATCTTCCCTGGCTATTCGTAAAAATCAATAACAACCAACTGCAGAACCGCAGAACCATACGGCATGACAGTCTGAGGACAACAGCGCCAGACTAACAGTCTGAGGCCGGAAGTGGTCGGAGTAGCCGTATCAGATCGGAAGTGGGCGGAGTTCATATAAACTAATCATGGCGGAAGAGATGGTAAGAAGTTAATCACGGCGTAATTACGAGAGCTCAGTCAAAAGTTAATGAAAACGGAATCATCATGGCGGAAGAAGTGAAAACGGTAAAAAAAATTGCCTTTGTGTATTTAATCGATTGTTTTTGGATTAACGCGTATACAAAAGGGCTCTAAGTATTTTGCAAGTGGGGATTGTGACGAAGGCACTTGAGCACATAATTATTTTGCAATTGGATTGTATCACTTTGTTAGGTTACATATTCATGATTTGGGATTTTCATTTGTTATTGACGTTGTATTTTACTGCATTTGTTAAATTTTCTGACTGAGAAATGCTTTAAATGTATTTGATTTCGTCTATAGAACCATATAACGATTCAGAGAGGTTCAGCAGTACCATTGAAACAATGTACATTTTGTGCTCCAATGACGAAAGAAAGCCATACAGGTTTGGAACATGTGAACTGACTGAATGACATGACTTAAACTTCCTTTTTTGAGTGTACTATAACTTCAACAATCCTAATTAAACTGCATTTTGAATTCGAACAGTTCACAGAAATATAAAGTTGATCATTTACATCACCTGCCAAGCATTAAATTAAAATAACTTTTCTAACACGGCAGAAAGTATTAGTACTCAAAATGTGAACCATTAAATCAACAAAGACACAAAATCATAGCTGACAATTGTCTATAGTAGTATGTCTAGTTTTTTTTTTTACACACATTATATATATAAGTGCATCTTATATATCTATATCTTTTAAATTCAATCGTTTTAATATAATACTTGATAACGTTGTTTTAAACTTTGAAAACCAAAACACGGATGCATCTGCATCCGGGACTTATGGACAAGAGTCGTCATTTGACAACAGTCCAGCTGAGAATTCATTTTCCACATGTTTCAAGTAACGCAACATCTCAAAACTGTGAATGGTCATCCTAAATATATACATCAAGTAGTTGTTTCAAAGTTACTGAATGGACATTGACTATTTAAACTATGAGACTAGACTGAACTCAAACAATTAACCAGTTATCACCCTCGAAGTTCAGTGTACTCGCTGCTAATTCCTATGCTTTCCAGACAAACACTGGCACACTCGCCTGGCTTTGACATTCAGTCCAAGCTTCACCTGGCTTGTCCGGTTTAAACTATGAAAACGTCCAAATTAAAACCGTTTAAAACTACAAATAAAATAATAAGGTTTGAAACTGGCTATCCGCTTCACTGTCAGAGGCACAACGAAAATAATAGTCCTATCTCGTAAAAATTGCATCTGCATCCGGGACTTATGGACAAGAGTCGTCATTTGACAACAGTCCAGCTGAGAATTCATTTTCCACATGTTTCAAGTAACGCAACATCTCAAAACTGTGAATGGTCATCCTAAATAAATACATCAAGTAGTTGTTTCAAAGTTACTGAATGGACATTGACTATTTAAATTATGAGACTAGACTGAACTCAAACAATTAACCAGTTATCACCCTCGAAGTTCAGTGTACTCGCTGCTAATTCCTATTCCTATGCTTTCCAGACAAACACTGGCACACTCGCCTGGCTTTGACATTCAGTCCAAGCTTCACCTGGCTTGTCCGGTTTAAACTATGAAAACGTCCAAATTAAAACGGTTTAAAACTACAAATAAAATAATAAGGTTTGAAACTGGCTATCCGCTTCACTGTCAGAGGCACAACGAAAATAATGGAGCTGGTTAGCAAAGTGAACATGAGCGTCGAGATTTATTTGAGCTTCACAGGAGGAGTTCAAAAAGCATTAAATCAGTAGGAGACTAATATTATCCAGTATGTCTGTATTATACATTACACACCGTAAATCGAGTTACTAACTTCATCGCAAATGTTGAAAAACTAACCCTATGCAGCTTGTGGCTAAACGTGTCGGACCACACGCGCTTCCCCTCACAAACCACAAATGAACGCCACGACACATCCGCGTGTTTGTCAAAACACACAAATTCCCGCCGTTACTCTCACATTTGTACATGTACACGAGAATACAATTGATATTAAGTCTTGTTTTCTGATTGATCAAAATCAAGCGATTTTAGGCTTACAACAACAACAAAGAACATTTGGGGTAGGCAAAATAAACCTGTTTCCCACTTGTTTTGAGCATAAACTCGTTTATTTATTTCAGAAATCATTTATTTCTCATGTCAATGCATTTTGGTTTAAGAATGTGTAGATATTTATTAACTATTATTAACTATCTTTAACTATAATAACTTTAACTAACTAATAATATATTAACTATATTAATAACTATCTTTATTAACTATAATTTTTGGTTGATGCTTGCTTGATTTTTAAGATTTTTAATGGTTATGCACCTCCCCCATTATGCCAGTTTATAAGGCAGAGCAATTACTAGAGGAGACTGCTGTACAGTTTAGGCGTACAACATTTGGACGGTCAGCCTTTTCAGTCAGAGCCATTAACTATTGGAATACTCTACCAACTGAATTAAGGAGTAGTAAAACATTTTTTAACATTTAAATATAAATTAAAGAAATGGTTCAAATTAAACTGTATTTGTAATCATGTGTAATACATTTTTTTATGATACTGCCATTATTATCTTGAATAGTGTTATTGTATGTAATTGTAAATGCTATTGTATGTTTATGTGTGATAACTTACTGTGTTTCAGATTTTTAAGTTGCCTTTTTAAAGTCTGGCAAGGAGCAACATATGAAAATTAGCCATTGGGGCTAACGCTGGCTTATTTACAGTATGTTACTGTTGATTAATGAGCACTGTCACTATTAAATTAAAATAAATAAAAAGACGACCCCCATTGCAGTTTGCAGCATGAATGCCTGGTGTACATATTTTGCAGATTCTGTGAACTTTTATTGTTTACAGTGGGTGTGTGACCATGTCAACATTAACTGACTTTAATCTTATGCCGAAAGCATTTAATTTTCTTTCCCATGCCAACATCAAAGTTTGTCTTGCGATAATTGTTACATAATATTAACACATTAATAAGAAGCAAATATGTTTGATATAGAGTTTGAGGCTATTGTTTGAGGAGAAACTGTGTTATTTGCTTATCCATTCACCACACCCACATTGCATAATTATACCACAAGATGGTAGCAAGGAGCTAAAGCAGAATTCATCTGCCCAATATTTTCTGTCATGTCTTGCAGTAATATCCAGTAACACTCAAGCCATTGCACTTTTTCCAGCAAGTAGAAAGAGATGGTCCACTGAAAATTGCCCATTCACTTTCACTGAGCCTTGCTGTGATATTTTTCCTCAATGCATGGAATTGAAGTTGCTAAGCAACAATGCACAAGAAACACTGTAGCAGTACATAGAGATGACAGCTGGTAACTTAAGGAGATTACATGGCTCACAGTGTGTTATTGCACCCTTTGAGTTAACTAAGACAGTTAATTAAGATTATACTACAAACCATTATTGGCCAGATTTTTGTGCTTTGTTGTGAAAAAAACCCCCTAAGTGCTGCAGAAAGCATAATTTCATGGAAATTGCTCAATGGAGGTCAGCAAAAAGCGCTCATAATTAACAATATGTGCAGCTGTTCGACTGTCCTGCTACAGGAAGTGCTGAATGTCACAGCTGTTGCTTATCTAATGTGAACCACCATCTACACCTGAGGGATTACAAGCAATGTATAGGAAAATGTAAGTAAAGGTAACCAAAGACATTTTTCTGGTATGAATCACCCCTTTTCAATGTAAAATGTACAAGAACATATTTTTGGGAATTCTACCAA